CTGGCCTGCGGGTCGCGGGGCCGTCGACTATGGGGGACCACGCCTTTCGGGGGAGAGGTATCCTCAGTGCCCGGTGGGCTTCTCAAGGCTCCGAGCGCTGGGGGGTCGTGGGCGTGTGGGGGCACCCACTCCTAGGGCTGAGATCATGGGGTGGGCGAGGGCAGGCTGGGTGCTGCCTATGGGGTCCTGCCCTGAGAGCTTGCGTCAGTGTCTTCCCTAAGAGGCCTCGCGGCTCCAGTTGCCATGGAAATATTAGGACAGGGGCACAGAAGGGATTTGAGGTCCCGTGGTCATCCTAGTTCTTCTAGGATATGGGCCAATCCCATTTGCAGAGGACAGCAGATGGGTGCATCCCTGTGAAGTCTCAGGGCTGGCACAGACCTAGTGAACTCCTCGGCCTGGGGCCGGAGGCTGTGCCCAGGGCTGGAGGCTGTGCCCTAGGGCTGGCCTGGCCCCTCTAGGTGAGCTCCTGGCAGCAGGAGGGGGCAGGGCCGCCGGGAGCTCTGAGCTAATTCGGAAGAGTAGGAAGCCGATGACGTTACTGCGCACGTGGGCGAGCTACGCCTCCGCCGGTTGCCATGGCAGCGGCCGTCTCTCCGCGGCTCCCCGGGGACACCTGCTGGTCGGAGGGGCCAGGACTCTCATTCATGAGAGAGACGGACAGGCCCGCCCTTGAGGCCTCCCAGCGGGGCAGGGCAGGGGAATAACCGGCTTCAGTGCTGGGCAGCCCTGGTTTGGACCTAGTCCTGCTGCCTCCTGGCCGCGAGGCCTTGGCCAAGTTAGCTAATCTCAGCCCCTTTCCTCCCCTGAGACAGGGACACAAGAACAGTCCAGTTCATGGGGCCAGAGGAATGAATCGAAGCCCCGAGCTGAGTGCTGCAGGCCCTGGGTGCTCCACACATGGGCCGTGTCATGCCATTAGATGCTGGGAGTGCCTGAGTTAGGGAATTTTAGTCAGGAGACGCTCGCAGTGATTGTCCTGAGGTTCCTTTAGTTCTTCACTTAACTGTAGGCTAGAAAGCACTCACCCTTGGCCGGGCCGCGGGTGGATCATCCCCCCTGTAATCCCAAGCCCCTTTGGGAGGCCGGAGGTGGGCGATTCATGAGGTCCCAGGGGGTTTCGAGACCAGCCTAACCAACCAATGGTGAAACCTATCTCGTATTAAAAATATACAAAAATTAACCGGGCCGGTGTGGGCCACGCTCGGGTTTAATCCCCCCAGCCCACTTTGGGAGGCCTGAGACCCAAGGCGGGATCACGAGGTCAAGGAAGATCGAAGGACCCATCCTGGCTAATACGGTGTGAAAACCCCTGTGGTCTAACCTAAAAATAATAAAAGAAATTAGCCAGGCCAGTGGTGGCGGGCAACCCTGTAGATCCCCAGCCTACACCGGACGGCCTGGAGGGCGCAGGAAAGAATGGCATGAACCCGGGACCAGAAGCTTTGCAAAAGTGAGCCCATGAGAATTCCCCGCCACTGCCTCCCCAGCCTGGGCGACAGAGCAAGGACTCCGTCCCAAACAAAACCAAAAAACACAAAACAAATTAGCGGCGGTTGTAGGTGGTGCCGCGCCCTGGTAACCGCCAGGCCCTACTCATGGAAGGACTTGAGGCACGCCGGAGAATCACTCTGAACCTGGAGGCGTTGGAGGGGGTTTGGCCAGTAGCCCCAAGCATTTGATGCCCATTGCACTCCAGCCATGGTGACCAGAGCCGACGACTCCTCCACGTCTCAAAGAAGAAAAAAAGAAAGCCACCTCACGCCTTTTTTGCTAATCCTCAGCCGCCCCCTGGGCTGTCAGCCCCACGGTGCACCGAACCAGCCCCTCCTGTTAGGGGGCCTCTGAAGACAAATGCTACCACCCTATGGTGGAATACTAACACCACACGGTTGGGGGAAATGAATCCTCAACAGGCTGGTCCCGTCCCTGGCAATCCTTCTAAAATTATAGATGGAAAGGACAAAGTCAGAAACAACACCCTTTAAGAGGCTATACCTGTCCCGGGACCCCGGCACAGCCGCGGGTGGCTAGGCCTGTAATACACGCACTTTGGGAGGCAAGACAGGCGGATCACGGAGGGTCAGGGAGGACAAATCGAGACCAATCTGGGCTGGAACCACGTGAAACCCGCCCCTCTCCTACTTAAAAAAATACAGAAAAACCTAGCCAGGGCCGAGGTTGGCGGCGCCTGGTAAGCCCCAGCCTATTCGGGAGGCTTGAGGCAGGAAGAGATGGCGTGTGGAAACCCGACAACGGAGGCGGAGCCCTTTGACAGTGGACCTTGAGATCCCCCAGAAAGCCACTGCACTCCAGCCTTAGGTGAACAACAGCGAGACTAACATCTCAAAAGAAAAAAAAAAAAAAGAGGCCTACTGTCCTAGCCTTTTGGTTAGAAACCTTACAAAGAAAAGAGGTGAAAAAAAACGGGGGTGGGCTACCTCCTAAGAGGGGCAAACAAAATCTGTATGGGCAAATACATTCAAAACTAGATGAGGCCGTCTCCACGGGTGAAGGGAGTGGTGGGAACCCAGAACAGTGGAATTTCTCAGTAAGCTCTTTAGTTTGTTCTGATTCGTGAGCTAGGTTAATGTATTAGTTGTTTTTTCCATTAAATTTTAAGAAATTCGGCCGGGCGTGGTGGCTCACACCTGTAATTCCAGCACTTGGGAGGCCAAGGCGGGGGGATCATGAGGTTAAGAGATTAAGACCTTCCTGGTCAACATGGTGAAACCTCGTCTCTACTAAATATACAAAAATTAGCGGGGCGTGGTGGCGTGCACCTGTAATCCCAGCTACTCGGGAGGCCGAGGCAGGAGGATTGCTTGAACCTGGGAGGCAGAGGTTGTAGTGAGCTGAGATTGCACCACTGCACTCCAGACAGTGCACCAGTGGTCTGCACTTTTGAGACTCTGTCTCAAAACAACAACAACAACAACAACAAATTCTCGTGTTTGGGCCTGGCCCAGACTGACTAAGCCTAGTCTCTGGGGTTGGGCCTGAGCATCAGAAGCTGCCAAGGCCTGAGCCGACAGATCCTGGACCCACTGTATCCTAGGGTCCGGCCTATGGGCGGGTGGGCAGCACTGACCAGGCCGCTCCCTTGCAGACATTCTCCGGGGGCTACGTGCACGTGCTGAAGGGTGTGCTCTCAGACGACCTCCTCCTGAAGAGCTTCCAGAAGATGGGCTACGTGCGCAGGGACAGCCACCGGCTCATGGTGACCGCCCTGCCCCCCGCCTGCCAGCTGGTGCAGGTGGCCCTGGGCTGCTTCGCTCTCCGGCTGGAGTGTGAGATCCTGGGCGAGGTGCTGGCCCAGCTGGGCACCAGTGTACTACCAGCTGAGGAGCTGCTGCAGGCACGGCGTGCCAGCGGGGACGTGGCCTCCTGTGTGGCCTGGCTGCAGCAGCGGCTGGCCCAGGATGAGGAGCCTCCACCCCTGCCCCCCCGGGGCTCCCCTGCTGCTTACAGGGCCCCACTGGACTTATATCGGGACCTGCAGGAGGACGAGGGGTCGGAGGACGCCAGCCTGTATGGGGAGCCGTCACCAGGCCCTGACTCGCCCTCGGCAGAGGTGGCCTACAGGCCGCCGCTGTGGGAGCAGAGTGCCAAACTGTGGGGCACTGGGGGCCGGGCCTGGGAGCCCCCAGCTGAGGAGCTGCCGCAGGCCGGCAGCCCACCCTATGGGGCCTTGGAGGAGGGGCTAGAACCAGAACCCTCCGCCTTCTCCTTCGTCTCTCTGCGCCGTGAGCTGAGTAGGCCTGGGGACCTGGCCACCCCTGAAAGCTCTGCAGGGGCCAGCCCGAGGCGTATTCGGGCAGAGGGGGTACCAGCCTCAGCCTATAGGTCTGTCTCTGAGCCCCCAGGCTACCAGGCACACAGCTGCCTGTCCCCTGGCGCCCTGCCCACCCTCTGCTGTGACACCTGTCGCCAGCTACACGCTGCCCACTGTGCAGCCCTGCCCGCCTGCCGCCCGGGCCACTCGCTGCGTGTGCTGCTTGGCGACGCCCAGCGGCGCTTGTGGCTGCAGCGTGCACAGATGGACACTCTGCTCTACAGTAGTCCCGGGGCCCGGCCCTAGGCCAGCGGGGCCCCACGTCAAGGGCTCTTGGGAGACAGCTCCCGTGGTGCTTTTCTCTTTGCTGGCGAGGGGTCTGGGCCTCTGGTCGCCTTGTCCCTGGGGGAGTTCTGGGCACAGCAGGGGGTTGAAGAGTCCAGGCCAACCCCTGCTGGAGGTGGGACTCTGTCCATGGAAAGCTCCAAGGGCAGCAGGCCTAAGCTGGCCAGCAGGAGCCTTTCCACATTTCCCTGCCCTCAGAACCCAGATGCCCACAGGTGCTGGGCAGAGGGGTCCAGCCTGTTCCAGCCAGTGCCTGAACCTGTCTCTGAGGAGGACCCTGTGCCCCAAGGCCTGCGGCTCCGGGCCCGCTCCCTGCAGTATGGGGCTCAGGACTTGGTCCTCCACGTGTCCCAGGGATTCTCCACACGGGTGTCCTCAAGGGCCTGTTGGTGACACTGAGGTCCCCCTGCCAAGCTCTGCTGGGGCCGATCTGGGGGGCTCTGCTGGGTGCATGGCTGACCTGGCTTCGGGGACCCCAGCCCTCCCCTTGGGTGGCTCAGCAGCTGGGCCCACAGACAGGAAAGGACCTGACCTCAAACCAGATGTGGAGGTGCCCGAGAGCCGCAGGAACAGGCAGCAGTAGATGGCTGGGAAGGCCTGAGCGTCCCTGCTGCTGGGCGAAGGGGCTGTAGGCTGGGCACCCAGGCGGCTGGGTCTTGGTCAGTCCAGTGGTAACGATGCCCCTCCCCTCCCCTTGGGTGCAGCCCACAGGCTGGAGAGAAGATGGCTCTGCCCTAACCTCGGGTCTGGCGAGGGAGGGGGCAGGGTGCATCCACTGGAAGCTGAGCCTGCTCTCCCTACCCTCCTCCCCACCCCCTTCCTCCCCAGCACACAGAGGGATGGTCAGCATCAGAGCACATTAAACGCTGGTGAAACCATGTCTGTTAAGAAAGCTTTTATCCAACAAGAGCCTACAGTTTTGCTCAGCATCTGAGCCATGACCCCCTGTTGGGGCCCCCGTGGGGAGCAGGGATATAGCTCAGCCCCCAGCCCAGGGCTCTCGGTGGTCTTGGGGCATCCTCAATTGTGGCTCCCACCCCACACCTTGTCCCTCTTGTCCTCATCTGGAGTCCTGCCAGGCCCACCTGGGGTCACCACAGCTGACCCATGCACAGGGCACCCCGGGCAACTGAGGGGGGATACAAAGGTCTTCTGGGCCCGCTGATCCCATGCCAGCGTCCACCACAACTCAAAGACAGTGGGGGGACTGCAGCCGCCACTCCTCCCAAGAAGCAGTGGTCCCGTGCTTCCAGTACAGCGAGGAGGAGAGCCGCACGAGACCCCTCAGTGGTCCCATGTTTCCAACACAGCAGGACCCCTGCGGCCATGGATGGGGCCGCCAGACCCGCCCTTCCAGGATGCCCCCGTGTCACCCTGCATCCATGCCCTGCCTGTTTTTGGGGGCAGTAGTGGGTTCAGGGCAGACAGTGGGAGGAAGTCAGTGGAGGAAGTCAGTCAAGGGGATGAGCTGGGTCCCAGGCACCTCGTCAGCTCCTAGCACCCTTCACGGACACCGCCGCCCGGAAGACATGGTGTGGGAATACAGGCGTATGCCAGGCCCACCGTCAGGGTTTACAGCGCTTGCTCTGGCCTTCAGAGGTGGCCGGGGCGGCCCGCTTGTTGCGGTGGTGGGGAAAGGTGGGCATGAGCTCCGGCTCACAGGCTGCAGGGAGAAGGGTGGCTCAGTGCTGGGCGGGGCAGGGCCCCAGATAGGGGAAGCAGGCCCAGGTCTGAGTCCAGCTCTGCCTCTGGACCTGGCCCTCGGCTGTCTGCGCCTCCACATGCCCCTGTCCTCTTACCCTAGAAAGGGGGTGCCGTCAGTGAGGGCACCAGGCCAATTCACCACCCACCCCTGGCGAAACGGGCTCCCAGCCGTTTTTGCTCCCTGCAGAGCGAGTCTGAGGAACCCTGGACACTCACGTAGGGGCTTCTCCTTGAAGTAGGAGCTCTCCAGGCAGTCCCCGGCCGTCGCCCTGGAGGAGGCAGCCTGCATTAGTGCGACTCGTGAGTCCGGCTTCCTCATCTCCCACCCAGCTGAGCAGCTGTGATTGAAGTTCTCAAAGGAAGCCTGGTGGCCAGAAACCGCTGAGCGGCTGTGCCTGGGGAGCGGCCTCTCCGCCGCAGTGAGGCTGGGCTCTGGGAAACGGTCTCGACAGTGCGGGTGGTGGGGGCCCTGCCCCCCGGGCAGAGACAGCACCTTTTCTTAGGGTCGTACATGAACAGGAAGTGCAGCAGGCGCAGACCGGCCTCCGAGAGCCACGGGAACTTGTGCTTCAGGTTGTTGTAGGGCTGCTTCCGGAGACTGTACTGGCCGACTAGCGGCAGCTTGGAAAAGCCCTATGGGAGGCAGGAGCTGAGGCGCAGAGGGCGTGGGCACGGGCAGGGGGCTGCGGGTCTGCCCAGGACACCCACCGGCCAGATGTTCTCACTGGGCGTCCCCAGCAGCTGCACTATCAAGTCGATCTGGTGGATCTCAGAAGTGCCAGGGAGAAGGGGCTTGTGCGCCAGCAGCTCGGCCAGGATGCAACCCACGGCCCTGCGGAGAACAGCGGACCTCACTGCGGCCAGACCTCTGCTGACCCCGCCACCGCGAGGCACGCTGGGTCAGGGACACTGTGAAGGATACGCAGGGACCACTGGCTCCCCACGCGGGCCCCGCAGGCCTCCCGGGGTGACAAGGGCAGGGGCAGGCGTGCCTCCTGCAGACCTCTGTGCTCCACAGCAAGCTAAGTTCTCACACCTCCTCCTGGGTTCCCAGGCTCAGGCCCACCTCCCTGGGAGTGGGAGGCTGGCAAAGACCCCACTGCAGTCCTGCCCCTCCCTGAGGCTGAGCTCAGGAACCAGGTGCCCCAGCTCCCGTCCCAGCCCTTCCAGAGGACCCGGGAGCAGTAACCGCTCCTCACCACATGTCGATGCTGGTGGTCTGCGTGGTGGTTCCCAACAGCAGTTCGGGGGCTCGGTACCTGCACAAAGCAGCACCCACCTCAGTACGGCCGGCTCCTCTCCCCCAGCCCAGGCCTCCACAGGACACAGCCTCCCTGAGAGCCTGTGGTGACCTGGAAACTTGTCCCAACTGGGACCACCCTCTGCCCCAAGCCCTGCAGATCTAGATGGCGCACACAGCAACGGCTGCCGGTGGCGGCACGTGCAGCGGCGTCCTGAGAGTCGCAGGGACCACAGACCCTCAGCACACAGCCACACCAGCCACCACCAACCTGTTCTCAGATGGGGACGACACGACATGTGGCGTCCTGACCTGTGTCTGACCAACTCTGATGTTCAGCCCTTGCTAAGCATGACCCTGATGCGAGCTGCCCATCCTTCAGTCTGGAAGCGGCCTTCCCTCCAGAGACGGTTTCCCGGCCGCAGTGCGTTTCTGGCTCTCAGGGCGAGGTGTGTCTCAGCTAGGCAGGTCCCTTGACGCCACTGAGCCCGGCTCTCACCATTTTGTGGGACAGCCCTGCTGTGTCCTGGAGGCTGTCCTAGACCCAGCGTTTATGAGTTTGCACAAACCCTATAGCTTAACATTCCCAAGGCCATTTGCAGCTTCAGCCTGACGTCGCAAGGAGCCCTCCACCAGGCAGGCCTGGTCCGTCGCAAGGAGCCCTCCACCAGGCAGGCCTGGTCCCCAGGGGCCACCACGCTTCAGAAGGACTTACCAGAGAGTGACCACCTTGGGGGTCATTGGCTTTACTGGGACGCCATAGGCCCGGGCCAAGCCGAAATCCGCTGTAGCAGAAAGGGGAGTGTGTGTCACCAAGTGAGAGCTGACAATCTAGGGACAGGGCCTGGCACAAGTTGCACCCACCTGTCTTCACACAGCCCTTGTCAGTCATGAGCAAGTTGGAAACCTTCAGGTCCCTGTGATAGAAAAACAGTGGCAGGTGGTTCCCAGAGGGTGAGGGCCACCGGGGGGATGAGACCTCCCCCAACGGCAACTGATGCCACACAGAGGCCCGAGGGGCCACCGGGATAGACCTCTCCCACAGCACGCATGTCCATAGACTTCTGCACATTTCCTCATGTTTGGGCTTTTTAGTATCTTTTTTTTTTTGACGACAGAGTCTCGTACTGTTGCCCAAGGCTGGAGTGCAATGGCGCGATCTCGGCTCACTGCAGCTCCACCTCCACGGGTCATGCCATTCTCCTGCCTCAGCCTCCTGACGGCTGGGACTACAGGCACCCCGCCACCAAGCCCAGCTAATTTTTTTTTTTTTTTTTAGTAGAGACGGGGTTTCACCGTGTTAGCCAGGATGGTCTCAATCTCCTGACCTCGTGATCCGCCCGCCTCGGCCTCTCAAAGTGCTGGGATTACAGGCATGAGCCACCGTGCCTGGCCTAGTATCTTTATTATTTTTTTTTTCATGAACCCATACATGCTCTTAATGTTTGAGCCTTTTAAAAATGGGAGTGCATGACCAGGCACGGTGGCTCCCACCTGTAATCCCAGCACTCTGGGAGGCCAAGGTGGGTGGATCACTTGAGCCCAGGTGTTTGAGACCAGCCTGGGCAACACAGAGAGACCCCTTCTCTGTTTCAGAATAAAACACAAATGGAGTGGGCAGTGGGCAACCACTGCAGCTGGGAACCCTTGAGCTTTTAGTAACTTTCCATAGGAGGCAGCAGAGTCAGGCCTCAGCGGAATCTGTGCTTCCGACTCCGGCAAGCTGTCACCCACCTGTGGATGATGAAGTTCCTGTGCAGATACTGGAGGCCCCGGAGCACCTGCAGCACGATGCACTTGACCTGTGTAGAGGGTCAGAGGTGCCAGTCAGGCTGAGCCTGCAGGGAAGCCCGGCCCGGCCCTGCCACACCCACAGTGGCCAGCAGGACTGGCAGTCACAACACCCCAGGAAACCAGTGCCCTCGCAAGGCTCTCGGCCCCGGGGCCGCATGCTCCCACCAGATGCCCCCACCACAGGAATTCTACCTCACTGAAGCTCACTGACACACTGGGAGGCGGAGGCAGAGGCAGCAGCAGCTCTGCAAATCCCCAGGTGGCCCTGTTTTGTTATAAATGTGCACCACAAGGGCCCACGAAGCCCATTCCCCCACCCCAGGCCCTCTGCCACGCACTTGGGCCTCCGAGAAGGGTGTTGGCATATTCTCCAGGAGGCTGGCCAGGTCCTGCTCACAGTAACCCATCACCAGGAAGATGCTAGAAGAAACAGAAGATGCATACCACCCTCCGGCCTTCTAAGGGGTCAAAGTGGACCCTCCCCTGCTGCAGGAGGGGACATGGGCAGGACAACCTGTGTCCGCCTCTGACAACGGGCTGGGCCAGGCAGTGAGGTGGGGCCATCTCTTCTCTGACAACCTCGTGCCCAGTGACACTCAGTCCTCACTCTGTGCGACACCTCTAGCCCAAGATACATGCTCCCTGGGGCCCGATACACAGAGCAGGAGACCGCGTACCTCTCCAGGTGGTTCCCCACAACCACCTCCTTCAGCTCCACGATGTTGGGGTGACGCAGGCGGAGCAGCAGTGTGATCTCCCGCAGGCTGCTGATGGGGATGCCTGGGGAGGGAGGCGGCCTCAGCGAGCTCCACCCCAGTGATGACGGGGACGCCCCGACCCCAGCCACTCCCGGGGCTTCATGGACACCTGATGCCAGTCGTTGCAGCTGTCCCCACCTCAGGGAGGATCAGGGCGACCCCAATAAGCACTTTTAACTCTTTCTTGACCAAATACGCATCAGCACCTCTAGCCACCATGGACATCCGTCTGGGGCGTGGCAGGGCCCTGCCTACACAGGCAAGGTGCTGGGGGTGGAGGGGACAGCAGAGCTGAGCCTGCAGGGAGGGGGACTCACCAGACAGGAGGGGGAGGAGGGGATGGAGACCGCAGAGCCCTCCCAGCAGACAGCTGAGGCCGCGTGTGGACCTGGGGGTGACGCGCTGGGCCACGCCAGAACCCGCCCAGAGGATGGCCCCCTACAGCCACCGTGCACTCGCTCTGAGGAAACTTCAGGTAACTCACACCTTTCTGCCTCCTCCCAGTGTGGGGTCCCAGCACCCCATCCTCCTGCTCACCATCCTCCTCCTTGTCACACCTTTCTGCCTCCTCCCAGCGTGGGGTCCCAGCACCCCATCTTCCTGCTCACCATCCTCCTCCTTGTCACACCTTTCTGCCTCCTCCCAGGGTGGGGTCCCAGCACCCCATCCTCCTGCTCACCATCCTCCTCCTTGTCACACCTTTCTGCCTCCTCCCAGGGTGGGGTCCCAGCACCCCATCCTCCTGCTCACCATCCTTCTCCTTGTCCATCCGTACCTTCTTCAGCGCGACAATCTCATCTGTCTGGGTGTCCCGGGCCCGATCTGCAATGGAAACGCGTCGGTGACGACGTCCATCTCGATGCCCCTCGTGGGCCCCCTAGTGCTGCACAGGAACCTCTCCGTGAGCCACAGGGGTCCCCGTTCTCTCCTCTGACCACCTCCTGCCCGTGACACTCAATCCTCACTCTGTGCAACGCCTGCAGCCCGAGACACCTGCTCCCTGGGGGGGTTTCCTCATCTGAACTGCGCAGGGGGTGCCCAGCTTTGCTCTGTGCTGGACCCTGGCCTCCAGCCACTCAGTTCTGTGGCTCCAGGCTCTCCCTGTGCGCCTCCTCGGCACGCAGATGACAGCTTTGAGCTCTTGTAATGTCCTAAAAGCAAGTAAGGTACTCTATGTAGAACAAAGTGAACCTTATTTTGTGTGAAGATGGCTCTACACAACACCGTGCCAATGTGTAGAGCTTCCAGAATGATCTACGCCAATTTCACAGCTGTTATGAGCTTCAGTTGTGTGTGGTGGTTTTGGTTTTTTTGAGACAGGGTCTCCCACTGTTGCCAAAGCTGGAGTGCGGTGGCACAATCACAGCTCACTGCAGCCTCAAACTCCTAGGCTTCGCCGGGTACAGTGGCTCACACCTGTAATCCCAGTGCTTTGGGAGGCTGAGGCAGGAGGATCATTTGAGCCCAGAAGTTCAAGACCAGCCCGGGCAACATAGGGAGATCCCATCTCTACCAAAAATAAAAAAATCAGCCGGGTGTGATTCTGTACTCTTGTGGTCCCAGATACTCAGGAGGCTGAGGTGGGAGGATCACTTGAGCCTGGGAGGTCGAGGCTGCAGTGAGCTGTGGTGATGCCACTGCACTCCAGCCTGGGCAACAGAGCAAAACCCATCTCAAAAACAAACAAACAAGAAAAACCACCTGGGCTCAGGTGACCCCTCCAGAGTTGCTGAGGTTATAGATATGAGCATCGTGTCCAGCTCCTGCCGCTTCTGGAAAGTTCTGTATTTGATTTCTCTGACAGTTCTCTCTACTCTGCGTGACACATTTGGTTTATGGGCATTAGCAACTGGAGGCTTCCGTTTATCCAGAAATGGTGTAACGTTTGTGATGACTACACCAGGAATTAAAGTTGCGAACAAGTTTCTGCCCTGGTTTAGAGTACAGGGTCTGAGTCCCATCCAGCCCAACGCAGCTGCTGCTTCGACAGTCTCGTCCCACACTGTCACAGCCACGAGCTGCGGCTACACGCTCTGGCCTTGGCCACTCACACACAATGCCGTAGGTACCCTCTCCAATGCGGTTCAGCTTCTCAAACTCCTTCACACTGCGGCATCGTCCCAGCTGAAAAAGAACGGTGTTGCCAGTGTGGAAATCTGGCAGCTGATGGAACAACTGAGGAAATTTCAAATGGAATTTGTACCAGGGAGCCCACTCACGTCTTCCTCACCAAGCAGAAAGGCAACCACATGCTCGGGCTGTTTTTTTTTTTTTTTTTTTTTTTAGTAAGAGACGGGGTTTCACCATGTTGGCCAGGATGGTCTCGATCTCCTGATTGTCATGCACGTCCATGTGAAGAGACCACCAAACAGGCTTTGTGCGAGCAATAAAGCTTTTTAAATCATCCTGGGTGCGGGCGGCTGAGTCCGAAAAGAGAGTCAGTGAAGGGAGATAAGGGTGGGGCCGTTTTATAGGATTTCGGTAGGTAAAGGAAAATTACAGTAGAAAAGGGGTTGTTTTGGCCCGGGCGCGGTGGCTCAAGCCTGTAACCCAGCACTTTGGGAGGCCGAGACGGGCGGATCACAAGGTCAGGAGACGAGACCATCCTGGCTAACACGGGTGAAACCCGTCTCTACTAAAAAATACAAAAAACTAGCGGGCGAGGTGGCGGGCGTCTGTAGTTCCAGCTATCGGGAGGCTGAGGCAGGAGAATGGCGGGAACCCAGGAGGCGGAGCTTGCAGGTGAGCTGAGATTCCGCCAATGCACCCCAGTCGGGCCGACAAAGCGAGACTCTGGTTCCCTTCAAAC